AGTGTTAATAATCGCTCAAATTGCATTCACGATAATTGTCATTCGTATCGATAAGCTGCTTTGGAGTAGAGACGCAACTCTTTCGCACTCAAGTTATCGTCCTTAGTACCCTCTTATAAGGTATATGTATAACAGAACGGTCCATCGTGGATACTCATCAACTCCCTCATCGTGATGGGGCTGCCTCCCGCATATCCAAGGTCAACTATATCGTCCAGAGTGGTGTCAGGTGACGGCGGGGTGTTCAAGAAGGTACCTGTCCCTGAGATGGCATCCCGACGATTCTTATAGTCCAGTGCTTGCCACGTCCACCATACCAAATCAATCATTCCGTGGTGAAGATAAAATACTGGCTCGCCCGGAGATACAAAGACATCATCAGCAGGGTCGCCGCCGACGGTGTAGTGACCACCTCCATGCACGCCGATAGAGCCCGACCCAGGGACGCCCTGCATAACCATCTGAAAATCTCCTATGTTGTTATTCTTGAGAATCAAGTTGATTATCGAGGTAGCATTTGCGTATGCAGAGTTAACGCCCGCGGAAATATCTCGCTTCAAGCATCGTGGGTTATACTCCAATCCGGTTCCCGTTAGGACGGAGCCATTGTTTAGCGGCAGACTCACGGGGCCCAGGTTTACTTGCATGTTCTTGAACGGTCCGGAAGTAACACACCCTCCTCCCGTGCCAGCAGGTAAATATACCGGAGCAAAGTCGCCCAGAAGTAGGGTTATAGGTCCTTTGTTAGCGATAGGGGCGCCGTTTCCAGACATGCTATACGCGCTGCCGTCGAATATTGGTGACGAGGCTGGATCATTTGCGTATAGAGCCCAATTCCAGTACCTGAAACGTGTCAGTGGAAGATATTTATTCGCCAGCGAGAGTTACTTACGGTTGGGAACCAGTATAACCGCATTCATTTTTAAGTGCTTGCTCGTAATTATACACAAACCACCGATGCCACGCTAGAAACGTTCCCTTATAGCACACCAGATGTTAGCTAAATCACCCAACTAGCTTCCGCTTGCGAAGTGGAGCGCTTACAGTGTAGTGGATGTTTTGGGTCTGGATGATGTGAGTAGCGACGAAGTCGTCATACCGCGATTTAGCGCCAGGAGCTACGCTAGCAGGAGTCTTCGCCGGCAACGATTGTAAACACTAGAGCGAGCGAAGAGTTAGTATAGATGATGCTTTCGGTGATATATAAAACGGCGTTCCATCAATCTTGGATGTGGGAAGGGAAGCCCTTGGGGTCGGCTGATTTTATATTTCAACCCCTGAGACTGTCCAAAAGTGACAAAATAATTTATAATACATACGAGTACGGCGTCAGTATAGGCTTTTCGCTCTTTTTTACTTAATGAGCCCCTAAATGAAAAATTAGCCTCGAAAAGTTGAGATGAATTGTTGTTTCACATACCATGGGCGACGCACCGTGAGATTATCATGAGTGCACGTTTGTCCCCTTTTCTCAGCCGCGGAGGTTCTGTCATCTAAGATATCTTCCTGCGTTGATCTAGCCTGTTCGATGAGGTTCTCTAACTCCGTGAGTGAGTCGGAGGTTTTGTCAGTGGTCGGAGCTGCTACGGCTCTCGCGAGCAGTAGAGCGTATGTTAAGCGACGAATAAGCATATTGGGTGGAGGAAGCTATTTGAGTCCAGCTGAGAAACGGGAGATTAGACTAAGCTGCCTAGCCTCTAGTCGATACGTATTTTTACACAGACGATTAATTAAATGATCTACTCGTAAGCGACTACGGCGGACACAGACGATGGATGATCATCGATCGTGGGTAAGATCTACAAATATATAGATATTTCTCGTCTCCTTTCCACCCTATATTCGCCAAAAGATGCTCCGTAGTATTAGAGAAAAAAAAAAGCCAACGACTTATCCTTAAAAGGCTGACCTAATGCATTTCGGCTAGGTAACTATATTGAAATATTGCTCCATCTTAACGTGAAGTGGTCTAGATCACTGCAGACCTGTCTTAGTATTTATGTTATTAGCGCGAGTATGCCAGCATCGTATAGTGAAGACAAGAAGTACATCTGACGAAACCGGACCCATCCGTTCTAAGAGCCAATCGGATTGACGATTAACCCCAGGAGCCCTGGCGCTTTAAACCCAATGCCATGGAAATAGTCCAGTCCCTATAGATCAGCCCTACTAGTGCCCACCGGACTCACTTACCATTAGCGGACTAGACACAAGATGCGTCAAAGGTCAAATAAGGTCAACGCCAACTCGGTAGCAACCTTAGTCCATTTATTAGTATCCTCAAGGTTGACTAAAATCAGTTGGTGATGCTGTCAACACTGGTTTCAATTTTCAAGCTTACATCTAAAAATGTCAAGCTGTGATGATTATATAGTCTTTAGAGTAGGCACGTTATGGAGGGCATTTACCAGGTGATAAAGCTTCATGCAACTGCAAAAGCATAGCCTCAGCACCATATAATTTCTTTAAATGAGATACACTCTCGTCGTAAAGAGAGATGGTGTATCGTGCCATAATAAAATTAGGGACCACCAAGGTTGCAGGGCAGAATGCAACTTGTCACTACTCTGTAAGACTCTATCGGAAACCGGGAGGTCTACGAGCGTAAAGCCTTTAGTCGTTATTTAAGCATAACATACAATGCGGGCGCCTTGGCACAGCTGTGTCGCTTATATTAGTTCCTTTCCGTGCGCGCCGTCGTTTTACTGCCCCAGTATTTAAGGGGCCGGCGCCGTGGTGTAGTCCAATCCGAATTTCCCCGGCTGCAGACTATAGTCTATCATGCCATTGCCCACGTCCCTGTCAAAGAGGTCTGAGCAACCTTGAGCTCCTTCCCGCAACAGAAATACGTTCGCATTCTCGCGATTCTAGACTCAGCTGGATCGCAGGTAACCAAGAGGAAACATGTGTTAGAAATGCTATAGATATATATACACTTAGGGGAAGCCACAAGTAGTCTAAGTTTGAGTTTGCATGATTTTCGACCGTTTTTCTGCTGGGAAACCGACTCCCAACTTCGATCATGTCGGCTCCTATACTCCCCCTACCCGGTGCGGACCAGCCCGATGAAAATCAAGGACCCCGGATCGCCGGGGCCGTGATATCGACGACTATAGCTGCGCTGGTCGTCGTTTGCGCAAGGATGTTCGTCCGTTTGCGAATGATTCGAAGCATGGGAATAGATGTACGCAAAAGATGGTTGAATATTTGAAGTGATAGTATATTAATTCAGTCTAGGACTACGTTATGCTCGCTGCAATGGTACGGAAAATGCCATGCGTGGCCGAATATAGGAGACTAATATGCTCTTAGCTACTATCTCTTATTGGAATGGGAATTGTTATTGCCGAAGTTCACTATGGAGCAGGTCGCCACGCTGCATATCTCGACCCTGAAGTAAATAGGTTCGGCCTCAAGTTGAACTTCGTCTCGCAACCGATATACCTATGGGCCATTCCGATGGTGAAGGTGTCAGTGGGGTTCTTCTTGATCCGCATTAGCCCGTCCATCTTCTATAAGCGAGTTTTGCAAGGGGTTATGATATCTCTTTTGGCATACACTTTTGTTTGCTTTATGACCCTGGTGCTACAATGTAAAAATTTGGCTATCCTTTGGGATAATCGCATCCAGACGACGTGCTGGTCACAATCTACCCTTCAGGGGTTGAGCTACGCCAACTCGAGTCGGTCTTCCCAGCCCTCTCATTTTTATTAATTTTACTATCAAATTCGATTTATACTAACTAGCGTAGCTGTCAACATTGTCACAGATATATTCTTTGCGATCCTCCCTATTCCAATGCTTTGGAATGTCAAAATTAATGCTCGCACCAAGGCCTCTCTTATATGTGTTCTTGGTCTCGGTATATTGTAAGTTCTTTACTGTTATCAACTACTAGCCTATCATCTAATATTATTCAAGTGCTTGTGCCGCAGCCATTGTCAAAGCCGCCTTTATTAGTAACTACGGAAAAACGGGAGACTTTCTATGGGACTCGGCGAACTTGACTATATGGATCGCGTAAGTTGTTGTAAGCCCCGGATACTCATAAGCACCACTAACATCTATCTCACCAGCGCCGAAACAAACACGGGAATCATCGCAGCGTGTCTACCATGTATAAAACCAATGTTCAAGACAATATTCGATAGTTCCCTTCGATACGGATCTTCCCGCAAGAAGGACGCGTACGACCTCCGTGATTACGCTCATGGTACGGGTCATAAGGGATCCAAGTATCTACACTCACAAACGAGGACAGAGATCGACGCTCGACGCGGGGCTGTTCCGAACAGCTTGGCAGATAATATAAGCGAGGAGAGTATACTGACGCAGAAGGCTAATGGAATTACCAAGACGACTGTTGTAACGATCGACCGAAGCGTTGATGACCGTGGGGAATCGTCAGGGTGGAATAAAGACTATCCCGAGCGGGTAGTTGAAGATGTATTATAACCGAGTCAGCTTCATGATATATTAACATATCGTAGCACATACAATTCGCCAATGAGTTGATTTATCTTGCCCATTTAGTACCTTAAACATCCTTCACTTCCTCAAGCTCGATAGTTACGACTTATATAGCAGAACTACGAGATTTACACACTGGCTACCGGTAGATTACCCTTTATAAACCACTCTACAATGCGTAAAGGAGTCTTTACCTATCTCATATTTCCGTGAAAACGGCTGCACAGCAATCCTATTCTCCCCACAGCAAACTGTAATTATTATAGCCTTTCATATATACTACAACCACACATACCGTCTCGAAAAAACCATTAAAAAGACAACAGCCGAGGTATATATGCACAATTTTCTAGTGTCAACAAGAATGGTATACAATTGAAACCTCATGTTTGGGTTGATTTTGTGGGTCGGATTCCAATCCCTGTTTGAGTCTTCACATGGGAGAAGTTAAATGCATATTATACTGTTCACTCTGCCACAATATATCGTGATAATGTCTGTATCGGCGTAAAAAATATTAACAAAAAAAATGGCGGTACTGGGAATCGAACCCAGGTCTACACGGTATCAGTATATTCGCACATCCACAACGTGTTGTACTATCCACTATACTATACCACCCATGTGGTCAATGCTCAGCGCTTCGTATTTGATTTTATAAACTAGTTTAACGTCAAGGAAAATGACGATATGCTTGCGTAGGTGTGCCTTGCATGGTGTTCACATATATCCAATATCCATTTTCTCGCCAAAATTTGTACAAAGGTTTTCTGGACTACATATATCAAAGAGATATATTAAAAGTAGTAATCTTCCACCCAATTTCTGAATTGTTGTGTTGTAAGGTGGGGTTTGTCGAAATCTGCCAAGACAAAACTGGAGGCTCAACCACAAAGCAAATATAAAAGAGACTAGTGATATCTTCGACTGAATAATTACTTTCGTTTGTTTCGTAAAGTAGCAGTGATGAGGGCAATTGCCGATTATTATATCAGTTGTTAGGGGCGTCCCCACTAAACTACATTTGCTCCTTAGGGTTCTTATATCAATGTTTCTTTAGTTTGTTTCTGTTACGAATCAATGGCCCAGCAAAGAAGATGATGTTTTGAGGATCGGAATATCATAAAGCTTGCAGCGCAGCTACAAGCGCTCTTATATACACGAAAGAGCCCTGACTCAGGAACTAAGCCAGGGACGGAGTCACGATGTTATCTAGCTCTGCCAAATAATCAGTGACTCCGGGAGGTGACTATTGACCGTGACACTTACAGTATCTTATACTTGGATCACGATATCAACGTTGGTATATTCAAACCAAGACCCAACGTCGTAGCATCGGCATGCTTTCATATACGACAGCTAGCAAAGCTTAGAACAAGTTGATTCATAACTGCAGCCTTTATCACTAACCAACCGCTTTTTGCTATTCAACTTGCGGTGGCGACCCTCAATTTCCTATTGTAGGCCTCACTGGACTGTGGCTAACTATTTCTTGTCCAGGGAGATCTATTCCGTACCTATCTTCCAGCTAAGCGGGATCCGAAAGAGTAAAAAAAAAAATCGGGATTCCAATAAGAAGCAATTGACGGCGCCGTAACTGAGGGGTACTGCGAAATACGACGAATCATATTTTAAAAGTGTTGCTTCGGGACGTGCATTACAACGGAAATCTGCAGATACAGCAACGCCGCAAACGCATTGCTTCACCGCCCAACTTGGTAACCAAACGCTAACCTGACGTCGCTGAGTTCGAACGCGTCGTTTGCTTATCTGTTCGACCTACTTCAATTGGATTAGAACCAATCTAAGGTTAAAACCTCTGGACACCTCTGGGGATCGTCAAGTTACTTTGTGTTAGTGACGGTCTCCTCGTATCCTCTGAACTCTTTCCAAGTATCCCTAGATACCTCTTACGACTCGACGATATTACTTCTCCTAATTGATCAGCTTTCCCGATAACTTTGACGCTACACTTACAGCAATCAATTTTATAATACTCCTAGAGACCCCAACCGCCGTCAGCTAGAGAACAAGATGGCGTGGACATGCGGGACATGCTGGCGCGAATTCACCACGCTACGGGGCCGTGAACAACACATGAACGCGCTATGTCACGGAATACCGGAGCACGAATGTGACACGTGCTTTCGCTTCTTCAACTCCCGCAGCGCCGTCGAAAATCACATGAACGCGAAGAACCACTGGTTCCATAAATGCGGGATCTGCAGTGAAACATGGCCGGACGAAGAACAGATGAAAGAACACGAAATTGAGGATCACCTTTACTGCAGCGATTGTAACCGATTTTTCAATAATCCCAATGGCATCAAGATGGTGAGTTGGCCAACGCCTTATCCTAAACTTGAATTATTTTTTCGCTTGAGGACGTGCTTCGCGTTCCGTTCAAGTTCGGATAACTAACGTAGGACACGTCTGGTAGCATCTTAACTCTCGCGCTCATCGCGGCTACTGTATGAAGTGCCCTTTCTGCGCGAAGGATTACACATCCGCCACTGGTCTCTCGCATCATTTAGAAGGAGGACGATGCCCCAAGGCCCCATTCCTGAACGCGGATGAAATATACAAGCTCGTCAGATTCAAAGATACGGCGGGCCTCATCTCCAAGAAGCTAATCGGATGGAATGGTTCTCCCCAGTACGAGGCCACGGGGGAAGCGTGGAATGGATACGCCTTCGAGTGTTATATCTGCCATCGCGATTTCGGCTCGCTTGCTTCTCTGAACCAGCATCTTAGCTCGCCTGCTCGTAAGTTCTTGGTCCGATTTTCTTAGAGCCCGTTTGTGAGTGATGCGGTTGTCACTGACGCCTTGCCGCATGTTATAGATCGGCAAAACCTCTATCACTGCCCCAACCGGCTGGGCTGTGGTCGCGAGTTCGTATCGCTAGCTGGTCTCATGAATCATCTCGAGAGCGAGTCTTGCGGCTACACTAAGTTCGAGAACGTTCAGAGAGCTGCTCAGAACATTATGGACCCAAACCGACTCATCGCCTTTCACTGAGAGCAGCAGCAGGATCTATCAGCCTATTTCGAGCATTAGAGGTAGTCTCGAGTTCATTGGGTTCACTGACGAAGTCTTGCGAGGAGACTTACCTACCAATAGTCAGGACTCTTGCCCCTTTCAGTTATCATAAGTTTCAGGACCTTATTTCCTAGTAATAAGTTACGAAACAATTAATACAAATTGGCACCGAACTCAGAACTCCCTATGAATCGTAAGCTTGTTCCTATCATGTAGGAAAGGCGTGTCACTTGTACCACTACCGTTAGTGATAGATTTCCAAGTATAAAACCTATAATTAGTCATTTATACCTAGGTAGCCATGGGAAACCCCCAATTCTGGGTAGTTCGTCTATCGGTTTATGTGGCAGTAGGTCTCACGGCTCCGTCTCCCTATCTCTACACTCCCTGACCTGTATGCTGGACACGTCCCGATATTCTGTTGTTACCATGTCGTATTTTGGCAGACCATAGTTGACCTTCCGAGCAATCGAGCCCGGCAATAGGGCCGATCTGAGTACTACCTCTCATGGCTTCCGCCGATGCTATCACAACTTGTCGGTGCACGATCGCCTCACGTAGGGACGGACAAACCAACCGAAAGGTCTATGAGTCGTCAAAAGGGGTATATGAGATTAAGTTGCCTTGGCACATCACGTACTGGGCCAATCGGTAGTAAACGCTACCTCACTGAACTCTCGTGGGGTATACTTCAATTGTCCCGGTACCACTAGACATGTACGTCCGCCTCAATTGCGTGCCCGATGCGACGCAATGTTCGCAAGTGATACCGGCGCAGGGCAATGGTCACCTACCTAAAGGAGCAAGTGTGACATGTGACTGGATCTGGACCGTTTCAAACTTATCTTGTGTTAGATTTCCCGCAAGATATGCCGGGGTCTGCATGGTCTTGTCGATGTCTGGGATGCTTCGCGTTTTGTTACATAAATCTTATGATTTTCCTTTTTTGAACAAGGCGTCCAGATAGTTGTAGCATCACTTATTTGCTCGTAAGCTTTGCATGTAGCGGTCAATTTCTCATACTCCATGAGCTACGAAGGTCCGGGCCAAAAGTCTTGCACACATTGCTTAAGTAAGCCACGTGTGAATAGAAAGGAACCATACGGTATTACGTTGGTATGTAGCGCCTACCATCACTATAAATATAGTGGAGAGCTTCCTAAAACTTAACGGAAGGACCACTATCCGACCCCTAAGCTAAGACAAAGCTAATACAGTGCCGATAGTATCAAAGACGTTGAATTGGATTGACAGGGATCTGGGCATGTGCAAGACTTTTGGCCCGGACCTTCGTATTGATGTTGGGTCTCAATACCTAATTAACTGTACCGCAACCTTCAAATGAGGTTCCTACGGCGGATATTAGATATGGCGGGGTACAGAGACGATCCGACTCAATGATTGGTGACAAGAGCTCGGGGCTGCTCTGGACTTTGGGTTCTGGACACGCTATGACCGTTCTAAAAGTCTTATCCCTGAACGCACGTGGGCAGTAATGGATTCCTATCCTCGTTTAATAGCTCTACACAGCATGGATATGCTCTTTTTGTAAGAACACGGCTGGATTTGCTTACGGCGTCTTCGAATGTGGATAGTTTGCTCGGCAAAATAGGTATTGTTTTTGTTAAAATCGTTGCCGAGCCCGTTTCTGTTTAGTACCGTGATGATCCGCCTTGAAATTCTCCGACGTATCCTGTCCCCTGGTAGCGGAGCTTGGCGAATTAGTAGGTAACTGCAAACTGCGTGCGATACAACTGCGCCACGACCTAACATGAAAGTCAATCTTTCCTGTTTCCTTGCCTTAACCATCACGGCGGGTTTTCTACGCCTCGATATGCAGGAGTCTGATTCGATTTGTAGTATTTGTCTTTTTGCCCGCAGAAACGCTAGGGGAAAGCCGGACTCGAATCAGTTGATGGAAGTTTGTACGTAGGGTACGTAGCAAACATGTAACACTTGTATAAGAACAGGCCATACATTTTGAAACCCAAGTAGTGGTTGGATACGTTTGAAAAGGCCGTCTGATGTACCTAGCCAGTCCGGCCTAAGCTGCATCGTGAAGCCACCTAGCTTTGAGGCGGTCGGTGTTGCCGGGGGTGGTGGGGTGGCATGCTTTAGGTTGTCTACCCCTAGGTTGTCCGCCCCGGAAGGTTGGGTCGATGGTAAATCTTGGAAGTATTTGAGTCGCCGATGGGAATAATCTATAAGCAAACTCGAGAAGAAACTGAAAGGTGATCTTGACGAGTGACTTTCATGTTCATCCCCTTACCTCTAGGAGAATAGAAGTACAATATCGACATATCGACAATGATACCTTATAACTCGAGTCATAATTCCTAATTGGTCCTGGGATCCCACGGGAGGGGATTACTGTAGTAGTCTGCGTTCTGACCTGCATATTGTAGCCTGTGACCCCGAGGACTGGGATGACTAGGATCAGCGGGGAGGACGGGCGGCGAAGGAAGCCGTACCTATCAAAGTTGATAGAAGCCCATCATCACAAACTTGGGCGGTTCTGGATATGACGTTCCATGGGCAAGGAAGAAGCTCCTCCAACATTTGACTTGTATGTGAAGTATGT